TCCTATGAGTATTAGGATTTGATACACACCATATATGGTTTTATGATGAAAAACGCTTTATGACTTCAGTCTTTACCATGTCATTATCTTCTTTAGGTCAGGACTCGACTTTACTTCATGTGCACCCTTCCCTCCCCTTCCTGCAACATGAACTTCAAACCTGGACTCTGATGTCCCTGTCACTATCATAAGCCAGATTACCATTTACTGCTGTAACAGAAAAGCCACTAGAGCAGTACGAAGTAGGGGCTGGGGAAAACAGATGGTTAGGTAGAGAGAGACAGGAAGTGATTTTTCCTTCTGGTATTAAAGGAGGGGCAGAAGCAAATGCCATCTTGGTGTCCTCAGCATCCCCTGCCACCTTAGACCTGAGGCGAGCCTGTGATCTTTGCCTTCTGAAGGAAGGATGGTGAAACTAGAGACATGTGTTATAGGATGGGCCAACACCCCTCCGCTCCTCGCTCAATGGCAGAGTGTGGGCAAATTTCATGACAGAGCTCTTCTCTGCTCCTATCAACATGAACAGCCAGCTCGGTGCTGAATGACAACACCCATCACTGTAGGTATTTCTTTTATATTAAGTTTTTTAAAAATCTACTTGACAAAAAAATAGTAACTTTAACCCTGACTTAATATATTTTTTTGTCCCCTGCATGAGGCATCCCACAGAGCTAAGAATAGACAGGATTGCCTCGGAAATTGAACCTAGTAGAGCTTGATGCTCTGTAGTGTGAGGAGCAAAGACAGTTGTCCGATCGGTTGAAATCAGCCATGCCTGGGGATTGCATCAGTCCCAGTGTGCCTTTTAAAACCATGGGGAAATTTTGAATTATTTCCATAAAAGAAAAATTCTCCATTTCAGAAATACATTAAAAGGCACACTTTTATTGGAAATGTAAATAGTCACTTACTTTTCCATGACAGTCACCTTCATCATTGATATTCACTTCATGATGAGAATTCTATAGACAAATGAAGGTCAAAGCTCCTTAGACTCCTCTCATGAGGAAAACTATTATTTTTTAAAATGTTATCAATGCACACATATGTAGACATATAAATATTTATATGGAAACTTACCACCTAGTCAGTGAATAAAAATGGGAATAGAAATGATGTGCTCTGGGAAGCCTTCCTGTGTGACTGTACTTTTAAATCAGGAGGGCACTCTGTTTCTTTTGCCATTTCTATCTCTGTGTCTAACAGGGAAAGGTCAATATTTCATGTAACATAAGCAAAAAAGGACTTTGGATTCTCTCTCCGTTTACAGAAAGGAAAACATGTGAGGCCCCAGAAGGTGAAGTGACTTAAGAGCACACTGCTGGGTTAAACCTAAAACACAGTTTTCTTGATTCTCAATCCAGTCCTACCTCGGTGGTATTGGAAGTATTGATCAGAGTAGTAATCAGCAGCATTAACAAAGGTAAAAAGTTGTCAGGTTAGCTAGTAAAAATAGAAGGCATTACAGTAGCAAATTCAGGAGAAACTATGAAGGTCAACCAGACCTCAGAGAGACAGAAAGACCACAGCTGAACTGTGGAATTATGTGTATTCTGCTAAACCACAAGAGTAGGGCAGATGAGTGCACAGTAGAAATCTAGCTAGAAAAGGTAAAGGTCTTCGGTCAAAGCTGCCCCGTGCATTCGCCTCTCAGGGCTGCCCTAGAAATTGGACCCCACGTTATGATTCAAAAGAAAAAAAAATCTTAGTTAAAAAAAATAGAACCAGTAAAAAGGGGCAGAGTCACATATGGTCTCGGAAACACTGTCTTGAGGGAAACTCTGGGGAGGGCTTAGAATTGGGCCACAAAAAATAATGATGTCATCACGGGAAAGAAAATGATTTCTGTATCAAATGGTGGACTTGAGCCCGAAAACTGCAGAGTAAGGTCCTCGGGCTTGCTGTTCTGGTGATGTGCTCTGGTTCTTCTCCCCTAACTTTGATCAGGGGCAGTGTTGCGTGTAATTCAGGAAGTAATGGACCACACTGCCTTAGAGTGTGTTCTAGCACTGGCAACCAGAAGGAAACTTCAGACACCCCAGACCACAAGCCTGGGATAAGCTGGGAAAAACATAAACAGCTGCAATAAAGCACTTATGTCTCCCTCGCACTGCAGCATTTGAAGTCCCATCACAGGACCACACACTTCATCTTCATAGAAAGCCTATAACACGAATAGCAACTATTAGCTCCTTTAGAGAAATGTGCAAACCAAGGCTCAGAGGATTGCATATTATTTGTGGAAGATCAAGCCAGACACAGCAAGGTCAGAGAATCCAAATTTCTGAATTCCTTTTTCCGTTTTATTAAGCAGATTCGCCATAAAATGGAGTAAAAAAAAAATCACAATCCATAGTTAATGCAGAAATTTTTCAAAAGGTATCATGGAAGTTACATGTTTAAAGTTTTCCTTCTACTCTTCCTCCTAAAAGGGAAATAGTTTTAGAAGAGAAACTATTTTCTGTTTCGTTCTCCTTCTAAATAGTTTTTCCCAATGGAAATGGAAATTTTTGACATGAGGCAGCCTGGTCTTAATGTCTGGCTTATTCTATTATTTTTTTAGAATTTTCTTATTTTTTAAGTAAGCTCTGTGCCCAGCATGGGGCTTGAACTCACAACCCTGAGATCTAAAGTCACATGCATAACCAACTGAGTCAGCCATGCACCCTGATGTTTGGCTTATTCTAACTGTCATATCTAGTGATTACAAATAAAATAAATCACTTTTCAAATCTAGATTTTAAAGTTAATGGAATGGGATGCACTCGGTACTTTGTTCTATTAACATTCTAAAATTGAACAAGGGTGGGACAAGGCTAAAAATGGGCTACACAAACCCTCTGGTAATTACTTAATACTCTTGCAGGATGATCACAGTAGTACCAGTTAAGATATAACTGTTTCCTGTCCCCTGAAAATACTTGTTCTAGGTAAGACACAAAGCTATCCATAGAAAGGGCAGTAACTGTTGTGACAATCTACCTGCAGTATTTGGAACACGTTTGTAGGGGCATGTCCCTGCCTAGTCTTGTTTAGGTAGGGCATCCTTTCCTTTGGTAGGTCTTCTCGTTTAAAAGTGAATGGATGAATAAAGCCAATTACGATTAACTGCACTTATGAGAGGTATCAACAAAAATTAACAGGTTTCATTTTTATGAGAGTTATGCTCTTTGTACTCTGAGATTCTCTTATAAACTTATAGGACCTAGAGCTTTCCAGCTACATACTGTACTTAATTAATCCAATGGTTAAAACAGAGGTACTCATCTATCAATGGACAATTGGGTTGCTCCCATATCTTGGCTATCGTAAATAATCTTGCAATAAACAAAGAGGTGCAAGTCTTTTTGAATTAGTGTTTTGGTTTTTTGGGGGGCAAAGAAGATGTGGTATATATATATACAATGGGATATTACTCAGCCATAAAAAAGAATGAAATCTTGTCATTTGCAAAAACATTGGATGGACTTAGAGGGTATATGCTAAGCAAAATAAGTGAGACACAGAAAGACAAATGTCATATGATTTCACTCGTATGTGTAATTTAACAAACAAAACAAACAAACAAAAAGAGACAAACAGAAACCCAGACTCTTAAATACAGAGAACAAACTGAGGGTCGATGGAGGGTACATGGGTGGGGGATGGGCTAAATGGGTGATGGGTATTAAGGATGGCACTTGTGATGTGCATTGGGTATTATATGTAAGTGATGAACCACTAAATTCTACTCCTGAAACTAATATTACACTATATGTTAACTAACTAGAATTTAAATAAAAACTTAAATAAACAAACAAAAGCAAACAAAAGAGACAAACAAAAAAACAGACTCTTAAACACAGAGAACAAAATGGTGGTTGCCAGAGGGGAGGTGGGTGGGGAATGGGTGAAACAGACAAAGGAGATTAAGAGTACATTTATCCTGATGAGCACTGAGAAATGTATGAAATTGTGGAATCACTATATTGTGTGCCTGAAACTAATATAACACTGTATGTTAACTATACCTGAATAAAAAAAAAAAATTAGAGATTTTATTTATTTGACAGAGAGAGAGAGAGAGAGCACAAGCAGCGGGAGTGGGAGAGGGAGAAGCAGACTCTCCGCTGAGCAGGGAGCCCGATGTGGGACTCCATCCCAGGACCCTGGGATCATGATCCAAGCTGAAGGCAGATGCTTAACTGACTGAACCCACCCAGGCGCCCCCCAAAAAAATTTTAATGAAAACAAAAAATGAGAAAAGAAGTTACTCTCTTGACAGATGAACTCAGCATGAAATATGGTTTGTCTGTTTGTTGTAGGCTTATAATAATAATAAATACTAAAATGCAACATTAATTTTGTAGGTTCAATGAGGAAAATAAATGTAGAAAACTATTTTAAGAGGTCTAACTACACTTGTGGTGAGCATAGCATAACGTACAGAGATGTTGATTCATTATGTTGTACACCTGAAACTAATGTAAATTGGGTGTCAACTATATTTAAATAAAAAAATTAAATTAAAATAAAATAAAATAATATTAATAAAATATTATAAGATGTGTTGTGAAAAAAAGTTTTAAATAGAAAACAGTTGTTAAAAATATTTCATACGGTCTTCTGAGACTGGCCAGACAACATTCCTTATCTGAAAATTGCACATGTCAAAAACAACAGTCTTCACAAAATTATTTAGAACCTCACAAGGAAGTTTCTATTAATGTTATGAATGTATGTTTGTATACTTGTAACATATACAGATAGATAGGTATATATGTTATAAATAAATATTTCCTGATGGACAGCCATCATTCATATTATAGTTGCATTAATTTTTCCCCTAAGGTAAACAGATATTGCATACAATCTCTAAATTTATCTGTATTCATGAATTTATTCCACTCAAGAGAGAAGTAACTCTCTTGCTCTAAACCCTTCAAACGCAGTGTCTATCCAACATTATGAAAGTTTTCCTCCATCTAATGCTTGAAATGGGTGAAGTTAAAATTTCTTACCATCCAGGCTGTGACAAAGTCCCCCATCCAGGTCCCTACTGCAGCTAATTTCATGAAACTTTCATTTCGGATGCCCATATAGTCTGTAATGATATATGCTCTGTGGAAACAAACACACAAGACATTGTCCATACTGAGAGAGCCGTATCAAAGTGTTCTGGTTCAGCAACACGCAAAGGGACTTCCCTCCCTTTCAACAAGCTCTCCTGCCTTTGTCTCATCACATATGCTTACAGATCTGAAAGGCTAGGGAGACTTCTGAGGGTGTCTGGGTCAGTTCCAATTAGATTTGAAGACTGACTGTGGTTCTACCAATTACCATGTGCATTTCATTTTCAAGCTGTAAGACTGACAACAGTTTTTGAAAAATCAAACAAATACTCAGTAAAGGCATCATTTCATGCTCACTCAGGTATGCAGAGTGTGGAAACGATTCCTGAATTAGAGTAACTTGAAAGGGAAGAGAAAAGCTCGCTTTTCCTTCAGTTCTGTTGACTCGGAACTATTGAAGGGGTACTGGGTCTAGGCTTTGGATAAAATATCATACCTGAATAATGGTCAAAAAATGTCCATTTCAGAAAATTTCCACAGAATAAAGAAACATAAAATTTGACTCAAATACATGTGGCTTAAATTATTACTTAAATAACAATAACCAGATTTAATTTCATCTCTTTTTGTGTCACAAATTCTTCTGCTTCCTATAACACCAATTCATGTTCTTCATGGTCCGAAGAGAGATTCAAAGGCACAACCGATCATTAAATACAAGTAACAAGACTATGCCTATTACATGTAATTTTTATTTCCTTTTCCTCACTTGATATTCAAGAAAATCTAAGAATTATTTTCCCATTGTAAAATTTCTCCAGGAAAACTGGGACACAGGGAGATCATTTAACTTACCCAATCAATACCACACAACTAATGAATGGTAATTAGGAATCAAATTTCTCTCTCTCTTTCTCTCTCAAGTTTTTTTTTTCTACTCAAAAATTTTTTTTACTTTAAATTTTGTTCCTTTTCTTAAACATGATAACACCTGTACAATTTAGAATATTAGTTAACCTTGATTCTTCTTAGATTAACTTTAAAACAAAATATAGCAGAAAATGATACGTTTGTTATTTAGTGAAACTACAAAGAATTTTTTGAAGTCATTGAGAAGTAAATCATCTCCAATTCAGTTTTTTTTTTCCTGGAGTTCTTTCTTATAGTTTTGTTATCCGTAAAATAAACAAGTTTTTAAATAGTTTTACTTAACAAAAATAAACTTACGAATTCTTAAAAGCACTTTTTTCCACATACTTCATTCACCTACCTTAGAAAATCTTTATAAAAATCTTAAGATCTCACCTCAAAATTCTGAGTCTCTATTCCATAGGTTTCTATAATACCCAAAATAACTAAGCTGCTGGCTTACAATATTCCAGAGATCATTATAAGCACTTTAAATACAGTGTCTCCAATAGCTTCCATGTGGCGCAATGAAATGTTATTATCCCCGTTTCACAGATATGGAATTGAGGCTTTGGAGAGTTTTTGCAACCTTCTCAAGGTCAAGCATCTAGCAAATGGACAAGGTTTGAATCTAAATTTGATTGACTCCCAAATCCAGACACTTAACCACTATGCTATATCTTCTTCCTACAAGAGTTAGTGAAATATAAAAAAAACACAAAGACTATTTACTCTATTCCCCAGTATTTTAGTAGACAATGAAGATCCAGACTTAGCTTCCTTTGAGGATAATTCATAACAGAAGTCAAGAGTAGTATGCAGAAGCTGCAGCTCATCAGAGTCATCCTCAAGTGTTGGACTCCCACTGAGTTCACCAATCTAAGCAGCCTCCATGTGAAAGTCCACAAGTTAACTTGGACAGCTTGGTCTTAGTCCCTTCAGTATTACTACTGGTGAACAGTTCTTGGGCAATGAATTCAGCGTACGTTAGAGTATCAGCTCTCGTAACTGTCCAGCTCTTTCAATAACACTTATTTTGAAGGATGTGTTCAATGACACATTCCTACATGCCTACTTTGCCAATTAGTTCTAGAATACATTGAGCTAGGGTGGAAATTTCCGGGTACCTTCCTTGTGGTAACATAGGTATGTCTAAGAGAAGACATCATTCTCTAATTTCTGCATCTAAAAATAGGGATGAGATGGATAAGCTTGCAAGAGATTAATGATCCAGTCACGAACAACTAAAAAATATAAATAAAACATAAAAATTGCCCCCCAAAATCTGCTTAAAACAACCTGAAAGCTGATTAAGCAATGAGAACTAGAAAAACCAATTTATCAGATTGGAGGGAATTGTGGAAAGGTTAGCTATATTTTCCCTGGGGACATTTGCTGATTCGGCACGCAAAGCAAGAGGATGAGAATCTGGGCTTTGCCTGGGCAGAGGGAAGTCTCAATGAGCTAGAGAGACAAACATTAGGAATTTAAGGAACCAAGATCCTCATTTTGGAGGGGCCCAGAAGGAAGCATGATATACAGCTGGGTTTACTTTCAAGACATTTACCAAATTATGAATTATGTTCAGGGGGGAGGCTAAGAGACTAAGCAGAAAGTCTCTGAGAAGCATAGCAGAGGTTTAGCAATTTCACCACTTTGAGGAGACTATTGTATTTCAAAAACCTGCCAGAAGGAATGGCCCAAGAGAATACACAGAGCAATGGGAGGCTAGAGAATACCAGAGATGGATGGGTCCTTACTGAAACTGAATCAGTCCTTACCTACTCCATTCCATGACTGGATTAAGGTGATCAGCTTCTATTCCTCCCATCTAACAGGAAAGAGTGAACATTTTCGGGATGAATAAAATAACATCTAGGTCCTCTACACATTTTTATACATAACAACCATCATTCATTTAAAAATTACTAGGATGTCAAGAAACAGGGCTATATCACCGAAAATCAAGAGAAAAAACAATGTCTAAAACTAGATAATAAGCTCCAGGAGGACAGAGAGTTATTTTGGCCATTCTTTTCACTGTTGATTCCCCAGCACTTAGAGCACCACCAGCATATAGTATGTTATCAATAAACATTTGCTTACTGTGTGAATTAATGAAGCAAACCAAGTTATTCATATTTTTTTCTATATGGTATGGGTAGATCTATGTATATTAAACCATAGAAACAGCAGTAAAGTAAGATCTGAACTGTGGGCATGTGGTGAGTACTGAATGCTATGGTAACAATGAAGATGAGATAGCACAATTTATGAAATAACTAATATGTATAAAAGGTAAGTAAGTATTCTAATTTTTGCTGCTTTAGACAAACATACAGAATTACAAATATGCAACCTGTCACAAAAATTTGGAAATACTAGTTCATTGATTTGCATACCATTAACAGTAACAACATTTCCTGTTCTGGTTGTAAAGGACAGAGTGTGCATACATTTATATCAGCAATGTTAGCCAGTTTAAATATCACATTGCTCTCTACAAAAGTGAAGTTGTGAAGCTTCATACCCAATGTTTTGGGGAGTGATTGAGAATTAAATGTTATTTGCTAGGAGGCACCATTAACATTTTAGTTTTGTTTGGAGTTTTAGCTAATTATTTCAACTATTCATACATCTTTTGTTTGTTTTATACTTTACTTGTTATTTCTACTGTGCATAGATCTAGAAAATCTTGCAGTTCTACCAGCCTTCCAGGTAAATATCAATCATTGATATTTTCTTTAAAAATTCTAAATGAATTTCTTTACAGGCTGTAACTTCAGTTTTTATTTTTTGAGATCTCAAGTTTAACTGTCAAATCCATAACAGATGTGTGGAAACTTCAATATACAGGATCTTGGAAATGTTCATAATTATCAAAACAGCCTGAAAAGCTATCAAGACTATCGCACCTAAGTGAAAACTATGTGCTAAATGGGCATAAACTAATCAGATTCTAATGTGGGCTAAATAGTCAATAAAACTATAATCTAGTATATTGATCTTACAGGGGACAGTCTTGATCACTAGCAACAAAAGTTCTAGTTCACTTCGGTCTATTACTTATATGTACATGGATGTAGTCAATGCCAGGTGATTTAGGAGTTGAGTCTCTGAAAGTTTAACAGGAGGCAGTAAACATAGATCACCAAACCAATATGGATTCATGCTTCACTGAAGATCCATCTGTGCCCAGCTGGATTCATAATGTCACAGCTGTCTCTCCCAGCCATGTTTGGGCAACATAAACAAGATTGGGGGCTCCATACACAAGTAAATCATGGATAAGGAGTTGACTTAACATGAGTACAGTCCTGCATTAACACAATGAAACTAAAGCAAAAATTCTAAGCATTCTTGCAACATTGAGAAAAAAAAATCTGTCACTACAAAGCACCAAGAATTAAACCTAGATTTATTATATTAACCCTCTCTCACTCTTCTTGTGTTTGTGATGAAATGATTAACAGCCTTCAATCTAGTCACTTAGTGAACTATTATCCAAATAACCACATTTTAGGGGCGCCTGGGTGGCTCAGTCGTTAAGCGTCTGCCTTCGGCTCAGGTCATGATCCCAGAGTCCTGGGATCGAGCCCTGCATCGGGCTCCCTGCTCCGCGGGAAGCCTGCTTCTCCCTCTCCCACTCCCTCTGCTTGTGTTCCCTCTCTCACTGTGTCTCTCTCTGTCAAATAAATAAATAAAATCTTAAAAAACAAAAACAAATAACCACATTTTAGTATTTTTGCTCAAAATTCTTAGTTCTTGCTTATTGAAAGGTTATTTTCTAAAAGATTTTATATATTTATTTGACAGAGAGAGAGAGAGAGAGACAGTGAGAGAGGGAACACAAGTAGGGGGAGTGGGAGAGGGAGAAGCAGGCTTCCCGCTGAGCAGGAGCCCGATGTGGGGCTCGATCCCAGGACCCTGGGATCATGACGTAAGCCGAAGGCAGATGCTTGACAATTGAGCCACCCAGGCGCCCCTATTGAAAGGCTTTGATGGAACTCAATACATGTGTATGAACCTTCCAGGCAAGAGCTACGGTATGAACCTATGAAACAAGATGCATTGGAATGTCAAAATCCTGCAGACAATTATTAGAAGTAGCCTGGAATAATTAAAATTGCATCTGGACCT